TACTTTATGCATAAGCACACACACATTACTCATAAACAACAACAACAACATATTTATGCATAATCACACCCATAACTCATAACAACAACAACATATATATGCATAATCACACACACATAACCCATAACAACAACAACAACATACTTATGCACAAGCACACACACATAACTCATAACAACAAAACATATTTATGCATAATCACACACACATAACCCATAACAACAACAACAACATACCAATACCATCCATCAGTACATTTATACTCTACTATTACTACACCTCTTCTCATTAGTACATTGATACTCTACTATCACCATACCTCTCCGGTCTCTTCCCCACACATCCCTCTCAGACACCGCGTGCGGGATGGCTATGCAGTGGTTCTCCAAGTCCTGGCACAAAAGTAACCGTCTCACAGCCGCCATGTGAAAGTCATACGCCCAGAAGACGTCGCATGTGTTTGCGTCCTGCGCGTACACGAGCGCACCTAGACGCTGTAGTACCGAACTGTCTGTGATCTCAAAGTTACGGTCAACTACGTCCAGCAGGATGACCAGGTAGTCGTTTACTATGACTCTGTGAGGATTTACGGCGTCGCGATAGTAGGATTGCCAGATGTAGAGGTGTTGATATAATGTGTCAGTATTAGACTTATCTAGTGTGTGGGATGACCAGGTAGTCGTTCACTATGAAGCTGTACGTATGCACGGCGTCGCGATAGTAGGATTGTCAGTGATAAAGTCATATAAAGGTGTTGTTATAGTGCGTCAGTATTAGAGTTATCTAGTGTGGGATGACCAGGTAGTCGTTCAAAATGACTCTGCATGTATGTACGGCGTCGCCATAGTAGGATTGCGAAACCCGTGTTTGCATCAAACCACGCCAACTGTATATACACACACACAACCGGAGCTTAAACACCAATCACATCTCAATAAAAGCTCTTTTCCGAGTGCGGCGAGAATTTTATTCAATACACACACACACCACCTCGTGTACATCCGAGCGTGTGTGTACTTTTGGCGTAGAATCCGAGAGAAAGATGCTCTCCATTCATGTAGACAAATATATATATATATATATATAGTACATAGTCGTGTCCTGCACCGCAACTGTATACCGCACACACACAC